TAGTTGATTAATTGATTAGTTGATTGATTTAAAATGAACTAGTAACTATTGTTTAAGTCTCTTTTTAATGTTGAGAAGCTGAACATCCTCATCTAACACTGATTTCTTCTTTGTTGGTGTCTCCAGTGACTGAGGCGGGCTTCAGCAGTGGAACCGAGGAGGAGACCTCCGGGTACGAGAGCGAAGGTGGTCGCTCCCTCTCACCCTCGACCCTCACCGACTGCGCCTCCACCCCTCCGGCGTCCCCCCTGCTGGGGAGGAGACCCCGTACAGCGTTCACAGCAGAGCAGATCAGCAGCATGGAGAGGGCCTTTAAGAGGAACGCCTACCTGGGGACGCAAGACAAAGCCGAGCTCTGCAAGAAACTCAACCTGTCGGACAAACAGGTAACCATCCTCAATCTGAGTTTTTTATGAGCTGATTTCAGTATTTTTAGACTCAAATTGACTTAAAACACAATAAAATAATTTAAAATAATTTAACAGAAGTACATAAAATTAAAAAAATAATTAACTGAATACATAAAATGGACAAATTCTTGTAATTTTTTATTGTAGAAATTAAATTTCTCATAATCTAACAATGTGGTTAAAATATTTTAGGGAGTTTTAAGAAGGTTTGACTCAGTATTCAGTATTCAGTATTTCAGTATTCATTTGTTTTTAATTAATTCATTTATATATTTACTAAAAATGTATTTGATTTTGTGTAATTATTTTTTATTATTTGGAGGAGTCAGCATTTTATATATATTTTTGTTGATTTATTTATTTAATTTTACTTCATTTATTTTTTTAATTTACAAATCTTTTTTGGTTTGTTATATTCTATTTTATATTTATTTTATTTTATATTCATTTTATATTTATTTAATTGTTTGCAGGACGTTTTATTGTTCCTCAGTCTAAACTTTTAAATCTCTTCTCCTCAGATCAGAAACTGGTTCCAGAACCGGCGGATGAAGCTGAAGAGGACGGTGCAGGACGCCCTCGCTCACGCCTGCCAGGCCAACGTGGCCTCCCAGCTGCTGCATTACCCCGAGCTGCAGGCCTACAGACCGGCTCCGTACCCCAGGTATCACTCAGCAGGAGCACCGGAGGGCCCGGCTGCAGCCTCCTACGTCCACCCACACAGCCTCCAGTACAGCTCCTCTCTGCCCCTGGACTCCTTCTACCAGTACAGCAACCTCCCAGGAGTCATGCTGCCCTCGGCCTCCGCTCAGCTCATGGGCTCCTACCCGACCTACCCTCAGTATTACTGAGCCTTCAGTCACTGCAGCTACTTTAATACTTACAAATTTTGTCAGACAAAATGAGATTTTATTTCCCGAACATAAAAATTATCTCACGTTATCCTAATAGGATGGAAACAGTTCCTCGTGTGCAATATTGTGATAAGTGTGTGTATCTCTGCTTGTAATGGATGTATAGTTTGGATATATTTAAATTTGAATCTATGAAGTGTTTTATTAGATTTTTGTTGTTATGTAACTGTGAAATCAAACCGCTAAAATAAAATCATTATTAAAACTTTACACGTTATCTGATGTGTTATTTATCTGTATTATATATATATATGTGTGTACTGTACTTGAGTACTTTTTTAAGGTGCTTGTACTTGAGTGAAATATTGTAGTTTTATATTGTAGTTAAGATTTTACATGTGATCAGTTTATAAAATATGATGCTTTGTTTTAGATAAAAGTATATAAAGTAGTTAGATTAGTTAACTGAGATTTATTGACCAGCTACAATAGTAAAATACATGCATACACATTAATATATCAGTGTAATTAATACTGATATAATATATAGTAATAAATTTAACTTACTAACACTTTTGATACTTTTAAAGTATTTGTTTTGTTGTTCAAACTTAAACATTTACTTGTATTGTACTTGTAACTAGCTCAATATTTTACTTTATTTTAATCGTTAGTTAGCTAGATTTTCATTTGGATGGATTTTGAGCAGATTATTTCCTGTTTAGGGAACTTTTTATACAACTTTCTGTCTGTATTATGTATTTTTTATCATCTTTAACAATCATACAGACTTAATAGGCTTCTTTTTGACAAATTAAGTGTTTTCTAGTCTCTGGTATTTGTCTCAAATACTGAGATATCGGCCTACTGTGTGTATTTGTAAAGTTTTCCTACATCTTAAAATCATGAAGAACTCATGACCCCCTGTGAAGCTTTAGCGACCCCTAGTGGGGGTCCTGGTCCCTAGGTTGGGAACCACCACTAGATCTCAGAGGTAAATACTTTATACTACATTTATCTGACAGCTTTAGTTGCTCTTCTACTTCTACCCTTCCTCTCCAGTGGAAACCACGTATCTCCAGATGTGCTGATGTTGATGTATGAAGAGTTCCTTTATGTGTTGTGAAACTTCTTGAGTTAATAATCTATTTAAGAACCCTCTTGGGATTAGCTGGAAACAGGGCTGTTTTTCTGGATTTCAGCTTCTGGTTTTAACGTTGCACAATTACTGAGAAATCATAGAACAATGTGTGTTTCAGTAGCTGTTATTAATCTCATGTTCTCTGTAATATTTCTGGGAATTTAGTGGGTTTAATGGCATGAAGACGAGTTTATATGAACACTGATTCTAATATTTGATCTGCAATATTCTCATCAATACTGCAAATATACTGGATACTGTTGTTAAACTGCTGTTATTTACATATTTTCCATATATAGTTGTTATATATTGTAGTATTATGCACACATTTTCTTATTTGTTTAGCAACTTTAGCAACTGTGAAGCAACCCCGGGGATACATAAGTAAATAAGTAAATAAAAATAAAACCAGATTAGTATCTGAATTACGTACCTGGCAGTGTGGAGAATAATTTGAAACAGGATTTACACTTTAATACTTACATAAAATACAAAGGAAGAGTTAAATGACTGTATAAAATGTGACGTTTAATCTGGAATCGTAACTACAGTACATAAAGTCCAACACCCCTGCGTACAAATACTAAACAAGGTTTACCAGCCCAGCACACCTCATTCAGGAGTGAATCCAGCTCTAATTATTAGTTATCTATTCATCTATTTACTTATACTTGTTTAAGCATCTTTTATGTTGAAATGGGAAACATAACTGGAAACCCCCAATCAAAATACTGGAGGGAATATTCTTGGATATTCATGACCCCATATAAAAATAAGAAATGTGATCCACAAATAGAGACGAGTTGTTGGAAAGGATGTTGGGAACCAGTAGCAAACAACACACACACTCATTTTGGACATTTTGGGAAGAGGTGTAGAACCTTTGAAGTTAGAAAATGTGTTGGGTATTAAATTACGAGGGAGGATACAACTGGTCGACTTGCAGCTCTTTAATACATCACAAGTGACGGCTGTGAAGCAGGTGAGAAAGACATGGAAACAACCAACAATCGGACGAACTTTAGACAAGAACAAAATAAACTTTTATAATCAGAGACCACGTAGGAAAATGCACTAAGATGTCCCCCAAAGATAGAATAAAATATTATGTTACTTCAGTCTAATTTAGCTCAGATCTCTTATCCCCAGTCCCAGTGGACCTTCCCCGACCTACTGCATCACTTACTTTGGTTTGTTCTCTTTCTTTCATTCATTTTCTTTCCCTTTTTTATTATTTTTTATTAGATTTAGTGTTTGAGTTGGTTGTGTTTTGTATCTTTTATGCTATTCTTTTGTAATTAGTGAAAAAAGTGTACGTATATGTGTGTGGATGTCTATATATTTATATATTAACATGCAATGGACATTGATGTAAACCAACAATGGAAGGAATAATAATGAAGGAAACATTGCAATAAAGTATAAATAAAGTATTTCCTTTCAAATAGCATGTGTTAAGTTGAACAAATGTGCTCACTGATGAACACAACAGAGGGCGTTTAAAGTGAAGCAAGCAGCTGCAGTGGTGTATATTTCAGCTGTGGTTTCATCTCCACACTCACAGGTGCTGCTGACACGTCCAGCTGGCAGGAAGTGGGAGAGGAAAACTTACCTGAAAGGCAAATGAAACCATGCTGCCATCTGTGGACAGAGAGGAGAAATACAATAATAAGGTAATATTTGTGTAGCTGCAGGTTAACATTCATGAAACCTCTGATAAAAGAGGCGTACCTGGATTCATAATGAGTAAAACAAGTAGTGGCAACAAAGTTAAAGCATCAAAATCACTTAAATCCTCTTCATTATTATATGTTTTACAATATTAGATTATTATTATGATCTAAGCAGCATTTTAATGTTGTAAACTGTATGTTTACTGGTAATTTAATGTGCAACTTTTTATATAATTTAAAATAAATTCTTAATCTATAAAGTAGCTAATAGCTGTCAGGCGAATTAACTAATAAAAAGTACAAAATTTCCATCTGAAATAGAGTGAAGTAGAAGTTTAAAGTGGGAGAAAATTAAATAACTAAAGTACAAGTAGTTAAAATGGTGCTAGTTTGAGTAGAGTGTAATTAGAGATGTGAATAATCATGTTTCCTGTTGGGTAACTGTTCCCCTGTCAATGATTAGTAGGTTAACTTAATCATTAGACTGACAGTTTATTATAGTAATTTGTGTGTTACTAAAATCTACTCTGGTAACAAAGTGCTTTCATACAAAACTATTCAAGATGCAGTTTATATTTACAAATAAAAAGTCAAATTCAAGAAATAAAATGCATCCTTGTTCATTTCAGTACACTAGCATACTAGCAAAGTACATTCTTTGCTTAATTACTGAATTTTAAGAGTGTACTGATGTATTTACCTTTAAATGAAAGTCCTATCACCTGACATCAGCTCACGCAGACAGCGTGGAGCAAAATTAACCAGTGGTGGAAAGTAACTAAGTACATTTACTCACGTACCGCACTTAAGTACAGTTTTCAGGTACTTCACTTAAGTATTTCCATCAAAATAAGATTTTACATACAGAACATGTTGGTAGCTTTTACAATAACAAGCTGACTGTATGTTGTAGTTAAAATTGTAATTACACATTAATGTATGTGTATAAATAATTCAATAATATACTTTAAGATGTAATTTTAAAACACTTACAGGAGCCACTTTTCTGCATAGTGAGAACTTATACTTTTACTTTATTTTGCAAATAACACTTAAATACTTTTACTAAAGTGAAATTTAAGAGACTTTTTTACTTTTGTCAAATATGAAATGCAGGACTGTACCTTTACTTTTACACTGTACTATAAGATGTTGTTGCTCCACAAGCAATAACAAGAATGATATATTATTAAAATCTGGCCATCTACTATAGAACAGTTGTCCATATTTCAGCATTTCTGTTAAGAAAGTTAGATGAAATTGTTATTTTTAACGTTTAGACTTAAACTTATGATCTAAACTTTGAAGACCTACGTTTCAGGGAGGAGAAAACACTGAATTAAGTATTTATGACTGTTAAAAGCAATTCATAATACAGGACTGTATTAAAAAGAAAAAACATTCTCAGGAAATAATCTGCTCAAACGTCCTGCAGTTATTGTGTTCACTGTTTGGGTTCATTGTACGGTTTATCTGTTGTTCTCTACTGTTGTGCATTGAATATAATATTAAATATCCATAA